CCGTCAAACATCCCGAATGAATCACGTCTTTTCCTTTCTGCTCGTGAAGTATGCTCTGTCTAAAAATTAAAAAAAACAAAACCAAAACAAACAACAAAACCCCCAAAGAATAGCAGAGCATTCTGAATGCAAATATTTCAAAGTTGAGCTTAAAAAGTTTCAAAGGTCAAAGTCAGCCTTACTCTATAAGCACAGAGATATAAGCTACATACTGCCAATTTAATTAGTATTAGTAGAGTGAAAACTGGCCTATTTTTGATATTGTGATATACAGGAAGAAAAAGCTATCTCACGATCCGCTGAGAATACATGGTAGCAGTCCATACATTTCTTTTTCTTGGTATCTTCAGAGTTCATTAATCCTGATGTGCTGAATAATGACAGCCACACAGATCTTACATGCAAATGAGCACACTCCAGATGGCTGTAGCCAATTTCACTAAAATTCATTCATTTGAGAAAGCTGGGCAGAGAAAAGGCAGTTCAACCAAGAGGGCACTATTCCACAGAACAGAAATGAGAGTGTATCTCTGCTCTCACTGGCTTGTGGGGTTATCGGTAAATCACTCAGCTGCCCTATGATTCAGTTTCTCACGTGCAAAATAGGAATATCTCTCTACCTCACAGGGATGTTCTTAGGATTAATACATTAACAATTATGAAGAGCTCAGTTACTATGGCAATACAGTCTGTAAAAATGCTAAAAGATAGAAAGGTGACTAATTTGCTACTGTCATATACAAAAACTTGTTACATAATACAGTTTTCCTATAACCAAAAAATCTGAGGTCAAATAGAAGCATATGATTTTGAAGAACACGTAACAGTTCAGCAATTTCCAGCAAAGACATTAAAGAAGTATAAACAACGGATTAACCAATGTCTTTTTTCTGATGCACATTCAACACATACATTTCAATACAGTGACAGTTTTCACTTTATTAGTATCTTGCACAGCTCTGCTGAAACAATACTCCTGCTACACAAGTGAGCTGCCCTCACTAAGCTAAAAATAAAAAATTCCAAAGTATTTCCATTATCCTTAACAGTATCTACTAAGATTGAAAGGAAATAACAGATAAAGAGAAGATAAAGAAAAATTCTACCATGGAAGCACAAGTTGGGAGAATGAAATACAGCCATGAAAACAGAAAAAAAAAAAATTTAAAAAGCCTTTTCTTCCTTTTCCAAGAGCTAATTTTATTTAAAAGCCATTGTAGACAGAAAAATAATAATATGTGATCGGACTTTTCCTTCTTAAATCGTATTTAGATTCATAGCTTTAAGATTTCATCACAGTAATTCCCCAAATCCCTTTCCTAAAGAGTATATGCCTGAACATCTTTATTGTTGGATCTTGTCTGAGCCTTTTTCTGCCATGCTCTCCCTTTATTATAATATTCTCTATTCTCCTTTGCAATCTGACTAAATACTATTATGGAAGGATTTCCTTATAGTTAAAAGGCAAAAACTAATCTCCACACTGACCCAATTCTAGCATCCAGTTAAGAAAAAAACCCCAAACAAACCAGTAAGCACAAAATGTTATGCAATAAGGCAAACAAATTTAGCACACTTCAAGCAGGTCTGAAACAAAACAAAACAAAAAAACAGTGTAATGTTAATTATGCACACATTCCTCAGCCAACAATTCAAAATTATATTAAAACCAATCAAAACTTAGGATGGGGCACAACCTGAGATCCTTGAAGGAAGTGGTATCTGCCTGAAGAGGCTAGTGTAACAGTCACAATCATTAGAGGTAACACTGAGTGCTGGCAGAACAAAACCTAGTCCTGACCTGTGCTGGTAACAAGTCCTACCTGCAGACTATTGCTAAAGCTATTAGCCAACAAGATGCAAGAGCAGTTATTTGTTTGTGTGTGCACATGTGTGCAGACTAAGGCAGAAGTTGAGCACAACGTTGCCATGGATACACTGTTCTGTGAACAGTGCCGGTAATTTACAGATCAGAACATGAAGACTAGTCACCTTCCTCAAGATTTCATGAACTCCTTCATGTCTCACAATATTTAACTTTCCTTGACCACAGCCTCCACTAAGAAATAAAATGCAATACCACATCAACCATTCAGTAATGCCTTCTAGTGTTACGGACAGACATTTGTGGTGTTTTGGAGCACACAGGCAGGATCTCCTTCCTCATCCACTCATCATCTGCAAGTTAGCTGATCTGATTTCACAGAGATTAGGGCCTCCCCCACATCAAGGAGAACTTCAGCCCTTCAGCGGAGCCTGCAGTACAAGGCAGTCTCAGGATATCCCTTTTCCATTCCAGACTGGAGAACTGTGGATGCACACGGCAGTTCTGCTTTGCCCAGAGCTTTGCTGGCAGAGGTCTGAAATGCAGTGGCAGCTCAGAAGGAAGAGAGGTGCAGCCCATTCCCAGTCCCTCCAAATCCCAACGCTACAGCAGAGAAACTCTATAGCCAGCACCGCTCCCACCCCAAGGGAAGGTGAAAAAAGCAATGGGAGGCTGAAGGCAAAATGAAGGACGAGTGGCACAGAAGGGAAGACAGGCTGCTCTAGGCAAGTTGAAGCACGGTGCAAGATTACGATTGCAGATACCACAACAGCACAGTTGGCTCTTCTTTTGATTCTTCTTTTGCATCACATACACTTAGAACTTCAATACTGCTGCCAAGCCCTCTTTGCAAAAATATCCACAGTGAGAATGACGTTTTCATTTTCGATATGGAAAGCTGGGCCCTCTGCTAAGAAAATAATTCTTCAGCATTATACAGGTTCCTAAGTAGCAATCATCAAGTTTGTTGAGTATAACCACACTGTCAAAACAAGTCTCATATCACCTTTCCTTTGACTTTATATTTGGCCAAATTGTCCCAGTTCAAGTTATGAGTGATTCAAAACCCCAGCTTTGTTTATTGTTTTAAAATAGTTGTTATAAAACTTTTTTACCCAAGCTTTTACCGGAAGCTGACCAGGTTGGCCAGATAATTTATGTAGGACATTCTCATGTTAATTTATAATCAGGATTGTAATTCTGGGGAAATTACTCTAAATATGTTTTGTGAGACTTGGCAAAGGTACAGTTCTGCAACAGAAAAAATACAAAGTATTTTGTGCACAGAAGGAGGTGGAAGCTAGGGAAGACAATATGCAAATACCTACGCTGGAATTTTGCTAGAGCAGATCAAAACATTTCTATTTTGATAATAAACACCACTAAGATTCTTTTTAACCCATGTTGAAATAGATATTGTAGAAACAAGTGAACAACATGTGGAATCTCTGATAACCCTTCCTGCAGAAGTTGGATGGATTTTGCAAAAGAAGATCTGAAACAGAAAAAAGCTGGGGTACAACTCTGAACTCCAAGGTCAAAACCAGCATCCTTACAAGCAGGAGAATATATGTCTCAGACAGAACCATAACTGAGATAAAGCAGCTGCCTCAGTAGCAGCAGCCGCCTGCAATTCCTGCAGAGCTCTTGCAAGTGATGAGCAGCAGCGTGCCGTATCAGCTGACCAGCAACACCTTGTCTGTCTGACAGAGAAGCACGTAACCACAATAGCTACAAGACCTCTACGAATGGAGGCCTCAAAGAACAGCTTCTTACCCTGCAAGGTGTTCCCACTGAATTTTGAGACACTGTCCCCGAGAATGCAGTCCTTCACTCAAAAAAGCTACCAGAGACTAACGGCAGCAGTAACTAAATCTAGCAGTTACAACCACTGTAAGCCCAATCCGTGTTTCACAATATAGGCATACCAGGGAAAAACGTTTCCTACTCTTAGACGACGAATTTAGCACTGAAAATCATGCTGAGGATATTGTCTTCTCCTCAAAACTGAACCAGATCAGAGTTCTTCGCCTTCTAACAAGTGAGGGAATAGCATCCTGCCTATCTGCAAAATATGCTTTGAGCGGAAGCCTCACTTACTATAAAACGTTGAACCTTGTAGTAGCTGGTTAATACCAGAAGAGCAGTAGCTTAAGTAACTCCACCACTAATAGTGAGTCTAATAGTACATTAAGCAGAAGCAATGCACAAGCAAAAGAACAAGACAAACTTTTAGACGTACTGGCTAAAGCTTATTTTCTTAATGAGATTACTGGTTCCTCACCAGGGAAGATTTTTAGACAGAGCAGTACAAAGTCTAGGGTAAGCGGGACTGGCAAATAAGCCTGTACGACTATTTGCTTGGGGGTTTTCCTGCATACTTTTCCTTATTGAAGGGATGGGTGGAGAAAGGAACTCTTAAGAACTGCTTTCTTATTCTGCCCAACTTCCCATTTTCCTGTTCTTCCCCTCCTCCCTCTGAATACTTGGCACCAACGTATTTTTAAGAAATACTCTTAATTAATTAACCATTACACAAGGCAAACGGTACAATAAAAGAATACAGTTAAGGAAACCGGTTTCCCTAAAAGCAGGAAGGCAATTCTAAACAAATACAAAAAAATCCCTAGTTTCTCATTCTCTTAATGTATAGTCTTATGTATATACAGTTGAATTTGTCAGCACATTATAGCATACAGTTTTTGAGGGCGGGAATGACTCTTTGAGCATAAAAAAACTGGTCACAAAGGGTGAACAATACATGGCCAAAACACAAAATAAAACCATTTAATGTTAAATTAAACATCAAATACTTACTCAGGAGACTGCTTTAGTGTCTTGAAGACTATGCTTAAGTCATGGAAAAATTTACAAGTTCGAAGGTGAAAACTTGCTACAAAAAATACCCCATGATTAAGTAACCAAACTTCTTGCCCCCAAATAAGTGCATCCTGGCCAAAGGAGGATGATCCAGAACAGTCACAGAAATGTTTCAAACTACCCAAAATGGCTGTTACTGCTGAATCAATTTGGTGCTTTAATTCAGAAAGGCAACAATTTAGAGCTCTGAGTACAAGAGCTGCAGCTTAACAAAGGCCTACCAGCACCTATACAGATAGGCATCACTTTCTATATTCAGATCTAACCCCCAGAAACATGGCAGAAGTATGGACAGATGGTATTGGAGGCCAAGGTCAACAATGAGGTCACCACAACCTTCAAGGCAAGGGTCTGTGATAAGACACATTTATTTTAATCACATATTCATAACAGATCATGCATTTCCCATAGTGTACTTCCAAGCTGGTATTAAATTTGATGCACAGCTTTTGTTTTCAGAAGTTCATTAATGTTTTATGCTACATGCTTAGTTTTAGCTCTGGATGTTAGCATTAAGGAAACCAGACGATGGAACCAATTTATTAGAACTCTTCTGCATGTAAGCTGGCCAAAATAATTTACTGTAGTAATACTAGCTTGCCCCCTGTGGAACTGAAGTCTAATTGTGCCCCACAGCATAACAAAAAAGAAAATTCAAACATGGTACCAATTTAAAGTAAACATACTTGCAGCTTTCATTAAAAACAAACAAACAAAAAAACCCCAAAGCTAAACATCTTGGGATTCCTGGAAATCAGAACCAACCAAACTTACTTTTTTTATATAAGCAACTCACCTCTATCTGGAAATGTGCCTTCCACTCTTATTATAAGTAAAATCTCTGCTGGAAAATTACAGAAATGTTTTTTCCTGTCTCTTCATTTGCTATGAATGACAGCATTTTGTCTGAAGCCAGTTTCTGCTGTTTGCCAATGGTTTTGTCCATAGCCTCTTCCCCAGGGGGTTTCACACAAGAGGGGAGACTCTTTCATAAAAAAATATATCAAATTAGCAGGCAATTTTGGAGGGGGTGTGTGATGATTAACATGTGAAATATCTGAGTTTTGAGAAAACTGAAAATCTGTTACAAACTCCATATGTTTCTACAAAGCCCTTACAGGAGTATCTGGAAGAGGCAAATATTTCACTTTAAACACTGTGTTACCATTACAAAAAAAAGCACTTTAAAGGCAAAAATACCAACACCAACCCACAATCAAAGTCTTCAACACCTGAGTTCATTCCATGTGCTCACAGCCAGATTCAGCAAAGTATCACACATGCCCAGAGTGTACTGACTTACCTGAGAAATGAAGATATGCAGTAGAAGTTTGCAGAAGGTATCAAAAGCCTTGCAAAATTAAACCAAATTTCAGAAGGTAAGAGAAAGGAAAGCCAATGGGAGGGAACTTCTGTACATATTTTCATTACCGTCACAGTTGTCTAGCTCTTTAGGGAACCACAATGAAAAAAATTCTTACTTACACTCTACAATCCTTATGCATGTGCACAAGCCTACACATTCTCAAAACAACACCTAAACTACTCTTGGGGCATAAACAGTAATTTCCACATACGAGAGTACTCTGTATCTTACATTACACGCTTCCTCAAAATGATCCCTAGGCAGATGCAACAAGTAAAGACTACTAACCTACGAAGGCTGATTGCTTTTTTAAAATAATGTATTGTTTTAGTTACCATTTAATGTTCCAGATTAAACTTGCACAGCTTTTTTATTCCATTCCTTACAAGTCGAAATCAGACTGTTATAAATGAAGACAACAAACAAATAAGTAAAGGCAGGTTCTCAAACCTGCAGAATAATCTTAATTTAAAATACAAAAGACTGCCCTGCAGCTTTCTGTTTCAACTGGTTTTAGATGTGAAAAGTCACAAGGGGTGCCACCCACAATCTAAATCGTTATTTTAAGATTAATTACTTTTTCACACGCAGTACTTTCTACCTTCATCAGCATATCCTTTGTAGTAGGATTTTTTTTTTTTTTTTTAAAGCCACACCGGACAGAAATTGCTACGCTTTAAAACATTTCCAGCAACAACCTGAAAGTGAAACTGGTTTCACGGGTTTACCGGTCCTCACATTAAGAGCAAAGTCGCAATATAAACAGTCATAAAAATTCTATAGAGGGGTGAATGGGATGCAAAGAACCCTGAACTTTTGAAGTGCTAACATTAAAAAATATTCTACCGCACTTAAAATGAGCGCGACTGGCAAACCAAACCTTGAAGGTTTTGACTACGAGAGGAAGTTGCTGAAAACCCGAGCACGCCGGGTCGCTCAGTAGGAGACAATCGGAAAGTTTTCACTACCGATCCTGGCTGCCGGCAGGAAGGAGAAGCAGGGAAAGAAGCGAAAAACCCAACAACAACCCACCCCAAGGCAGCCCGGGAAGGCGGGGG